TCCCGCGGTGTACCTTTCCAGGGTGGCCCTGTGCCACCAGTCTGCTTCCCCCCATAGTTGGATATTTTGTTCCAAAACTTGTGCCCATCTAATCATGCAACCTTTTGTCATTTCACTTTCTAATTCATATTTCAATAAAAGTTGGTATAATCTTGAAAATTCATGGTTATTTTCTTCTATGACTATTCTCTCAAAGTTGTTATCTGCTTTCCCTATACCTTGTAATTTCATATCCTGATTAAATCTTTCTTTTATTCATCTGTATAAAAACCAGTGACAGATAACTCCTTCTTCAACCAATTCTGTTTCTGATTTTAATTATCTTTGATTTCTCTCCATTTTTGTTATATCTGCATATGTAAGCCATTTGTCACATGATAATGGTTATTAAATTCATTATTTTTTAATTTGTCATAAAACATGTAACCGTGGAGACCATATATTAGTCTGGCAGATTCTAAATTGATTGTCTTATTTTATTTTTTTTTAAGCATAGCCAGTCGAGCACCCATTTCAAAGTCACAGCATAATATAATTTCAGATTTGGGAGTGCAAACCCACCATGGTTTGTTAAGTCTTGGAGTAGTTTCAGTTTTATTCTTGGTTTCCCCCCCCCCCCCCCCCCCCCCATTCATATGAATTTGAAGATATATTTATGCCAGTTAATAAAAGGTCTTTTGTTGGTTATGACTGGTATATTTTGGAAAAGATACATCATTTTAGGTAATAGAGTCATTTTAATTGCAGAAATTCTGCCTAATCATGATAAGCCTAGATTACTCCATCACTTTAGATCTTTTTTTAAAATTTCAGACCAAACTTTTTCATAATTATTCTTGAAAAGTTCAGTATTTTTAGTAGTTACATAGATTCCTAGATTTTTTTATTTTCTTGTCAATCTGATAACCAGTTTTGGATTCCAACTTTAATTTATTTTTGTCAAATATATTCATTACTAACATTTTCATTTTACTCTTGTTAACATGGAAACCTGAAACTTCTCCATATTTATTGTGTTTCATTAATAAGCTGTCAATACTACCTAGCAGATTTCCCAATGTTATTGCCACATCATCTGCAAAGGCTTTTAGTTTATACTCCCATCCTTTTATTCTGACTCCTTCAATCTGTTTGTCCTCTTTGATTTCCAATAAAAGAACTTCCATTATAATTTAAAAAGTAAAGGTGATAGGGGACAGCCTTTCCTTACTCCTTTATATATTTTGAAAATTGTTTAGGAGATTAGGAGAAGTTGTTTGTCATAGTTTTTCTCATGAAACTGTTAGATTTAATACATTCCTAATGTTATCTTTGATTAGTCGGTTAGGCAAAAAACCACTCTGATCTTTATGGATCCAGTCTTGCAAAATTATCTTTAGTCTCTCAGCCAATGTTGAAGCCAATAACTTATAATCAGAATTTAATAAAGAAATTGGTCTATAGTTAATTAGGATCTGGTATAACTTTATCATCTTTTAGAATATGTTATATTAGCTTGTGTCCATGATTTTGGAACATTATGATGTAAAATTTCATTCATGGTTCTGTGTAGAGGCTTTATCAACTGTTTTGTAAAGGTTTTGTAATATTCCATAACAAATCCGTCTGGACCCAGGGCTTTGCTGTTAAGAGCTCTTCCATGGTTATGGGTTTATTAAAATTATTTTGTTGTTCTTTAGATACTTTTGTTATATTACAGTTTTTTAAATATTTCTCCATCTTCTCTTTTTCTACTTTTTATCCTTGACTATGTTGCATAGTACTGCTGAAATATTGTTTTATTTATTTCTTTTATTCTGTTATTACTTGATCTCCTTCCTTAACTTTCTTAATTGTTCGTCTGGCCCTTTCTAAATTTGAAGGCTACTAATTTTCCTGATTTATTAACTGATTTGATGAATTTCTGTCTGGTGAATTTTATTTTATTTTCAATTTCTTCTACTGTAATTTGTGATATTTGTTTTTGCAACAACTGAATTTCTTGAATTGTTTTGGTATCTCTGGGTTGTTGTTTTTTTCCAAATGATTTTCTCTATTTTTTATTTCCTCCTTTAATTTGTCCAGCATCTGTTTCTTTCTCTTCTTCAGTTCAGCATTTTTTCATGAATAGCCATCTTATTACAGCTTTAGATGTATCCCAAACTACATGAGTTGGAACTCTTCAATCTAAACTGCCCAGGTGGTGTTTTATGCTCCACACTGGCTTGATCTAGCAAGTTCTTGGTCAGTAAAGGGGGTTGCAGACTGTCAAAAATAGTGTGAATTCAGTCCACTTTTAGGGTTAGGGTTAAGGTTAGGGAATCATGGGAACTGAATTTTATTGTGGCACTAGAGTTCTCTGACAAAGAAGGTTCAATGTCTCAGAAAAATAACAATTCCCATGATTCCCTAGCACTAACCCTAACCCTAAAAGTGGACTGAATTCACACTATTTTTGACAGTCTGCAACCCCCCTAAGTTACATATATCATTCCTCTCTGACCAGAGTATCTATAGTTACCACCCTTCTTCAGCTCTGTGATGCGGGTGCCTGTCCATTCACTTGTAACTCAGGAAAAACACTTTGTCCCTCTGGTATCTTAGACTGCACTCTGTAAAAGCTTGGACCACAACAAAAATAGGGGTCTTCAGAGTGTAGAAGACACTTTCAGATTTCTGCTGCAACAAACTAACATATGTACCCACACACACTGGAAAAAGGCAGAGTAATAATTTTGGAGATTTAAGGCAGTCTGCATAGTGTGCATATATATCCTGTTTCTGAATGCCTGCAAAGATAAGGCAGAAAGTGGACAACTACCCAAATGTGAGTAGATGCCACATGTCCTTGTGGAAGATGAGCGGTGAGTCACACATCTCAGTTCCCACATTAATGTCTGTTAATATTTGAGCATTGACATGTGGTAAATGTTAGTAGCCTACAAACAATCATATGCCGCTCAAGGCAATGCCTGGAACCCCTGTTCATCTTGAGATCCCTACCTCCTATTTTTTTCACTACTACTCCAAAAGCTGGGAAGATGACAATTTATAGGATGAGAGAAGAGAGATGAGAGAAGACAAAAATTGCCAGATGAATTGTCATGGGTTTGTGTACATGTGAGGATAGATGAGCATAGAAAAGAGATAAGGTCAGAGGAGAAGCTGAAAGAGTTCCCATCCCTCTTCAGAGCTGTGTATGTAAAATATATGTCTGTCTATGGCAGGCATCCTGTTATGACATACACAAGTGTAAGTCCACTCGATGCTTATGTGTTTATTTTTTTGGTCATTGTGGAGTTTGCATTCTTCTCCCTAGGACTCAACATTGCACTATGAGAGACCCCTGCTACCATGGCCATTTCATTACTTATGGAGAAGGGAAGGACCTGAGAACCATACAGCTATATCCCCATGTCCAGACACACATTGATACCAGCGTGTGCCAAGACCTCCAGCAGATCTTGCCCTTCCCCTGATCTCCACCAACAATGGAACAACTGGAGGTGGTTATTACAGACCTATTGTGAATTCTGGGGGTGATGACAAGGGAATTCTGTGGCAGAATTCTTTGCAGTAAATCCAGCCATGTAGGATCTTGGTCTGTGTGTGGCCTGTTTATATGCATATAGAAAATTATGTTTGGGAATATGTAAATGTCACTCTTGGTGAGAGTAGTTTGTAGAACTGTCTCCCTGTCCACACTACCACAAATAACCACAAAACAACTTAACATATATTTATTATTATAGTTGACACAAGCTATTTCTTCATTTTGTTTTGACTGGAACATGTTTTTTGAGGTTATTTCATCCTTTTCTTTTCTGCCACACACTTTGAAAAGGCTGATCCTTGCATTAAAGTACATGTGTTACCAGTTACATTATGTCCCTGAACTAATGGAATGATTTGCATACCTATAACTAAGTGCTGCACTTCAAACAGTTTTTCAAGTGTTTGTAATGATCCAAAGCTTGTGTGGTTCCAAGTATCTACTGCTACACTCGCCTTTACTCACATCTTTCCTTTTATACCTCATAAACCAACTCCTGTCACTGAGAGAAGAAAACAATAATTAATTATGAATAGGTATATTAAAAATAGTATGAAGAAAATGTATTGAGAATAGAAGCCAATTTTGAAAGCATTAATAACCTAAGTGGTTTAATTAAAAATTGCCATTCTGATACAACCTCACATGCATTATGGATTTCTGGCTGGAAAACTTTCATTATAAGAAACAATGTTATTAACACAACAGACTCTAAAATAGTACTAAGCTTATTGTAGTCCTCTCTCTCTCTCTTTGCTGCACTGACAACAAGAATTTAGTAAGGGAAACACTGATTGGCTAGAACTTTGTAGTAAGCTGATCCTAGCAAACTGGAACACAAAACAAACACATAGCTGTGTTGGTATGTTAAATCAGCATGCAAAGAGTTCTTGTAGCACCTTTGAGACTAATTAAAAGAAAGAAGCTGGTAGTATGAGATTTTGTAGAGTTGAGATTACTTCCTCAGATGCATGAGGCAGCCTGCTCCATGCATCTGAGGAAGCAGACTTTAGGTCTACAAAAGCTCATGTGACCAAGTTCTCTTTTTTAGGGCCTTTACAGACTGCCAGAAATAATGCTGCTTGAAGCCACTTTAACTGTCCTGGCTCAGTGCTAGGGAACCATGGGAATTGTAGTTTATTGTGGCACCAGAGCTCTCTGACAGAGAAGGTTCAATGTCTCAGAAAAAAAATACAATTCCCATGATTCCCTAGCACTGAGCCAGGACAACTGAAGTGGCCTCAAGTTGCATTATTTCTGGCAGTCTGTAAAGGCCCTTAGTTAGTCTCAAAGATGTTACAAGATCCCTTTGCATACTGGAACAGAAATGTAACCCAAACTGGCATCATTTTGTTCTTGTGTGCCTTTGAGTTGTTTCCGACTTATGGAAACCCTAAGATGAACCTATCCAGGGTATTTGTAAGGCTGAGAGTGTGTGACTTGCCCAAGGTCACCCTGTGGGTATCCATGGCTGAGCAGGGATTTGAACCCTGGTCTCCAGAGTCATGGTCCAATATTCAAACCAATATACCACCCTGGCTTGGGCATCATTTTACATTAAGGAAATTACAGCAAATTTCCCAGCAAAAGCTAGTGCTGAGTTGTAATGACCTTCACCTTTTTGTTAGTCACATTCTCAGAATGTGAACCTGATGGGTATATGATAGTGATGGGGGGAGGCATTCATGCTGCTTAATGCCTGCCTCTCTTCCTGCTCTTACTCTGACATATTTAAGCAGCATGTACTGAGATAACATTGGCAAGGTACATCAGTACTACCAAGTAGTGATTGTAAATTTTTTAAAAAGGGTGATTAGGGGTTGCTATTTCTTGAAACCTTTCCCCACAGATCCAGCAAAACACACCCAATCAGCTATATACCACAACACTATTAAATGCCTATTGGGGTGTGTCTGCTTTGATACCACTTTAACTGCCCTGACTCAGTGCTATGGAGATTTTGGAAATGTAGTTATGTGAGACATTTAGCCTTCTCTGTCAGAGAGCTCTGGTGCCACAAAAAGCACAATTCCCAAAATGCCATAGAATTAACCATGGCAGTTAAAGTGCTGTCAACCTGGATTATTACTGTGGTGTACATGGAGCCTAAGAAACTCCCGGGGCAGGGCAATGGCCTCTTACGACCTGACTAGGATTAGATTGAAATACCATCACATCTATGAAACCATCATCCCTGTCTGAGCGCTCTGTGTTGTTGTTGTTGTTTGTCAACTTTATTTATACATCTTTCCCCCAAAACCAGTATGTGAGGCAGTTTACAAATTAAAACCAATACAACAGAGTTAAACAGCATACAAAAGCTTAAGATAAAACAGTACAGAACCTTCTAAAAGTTCTTCCCTTAAAAACTTCAGTTTCTAAATGTTTGTTGGAATAAAACAGTCTTCAGTTGCCAGTAAAGGGACAATAAGGATAGTGTTTTTTCCAGGCTCCCTAGGAATGGAATTCCAGCATCTGGGGCAGCCATGAAGAAGGCCCTATCGTGTGTTCCCACTGGCCATACCTCTGAAGGTGGTGAGACTAAAATATGCAACTTGAGTGAGAGAGGCAGCATTTAAGACAATCCCTTATAGATGACACCTCCATGGAGTGGCAGTTTGATTGTGAATTAATATGGTTACTGTCTCTGCATAATGCACATACTTTCCCATTCCCTCTCCCACTGCCACAACATATTAGCAGGGGGAATACATCCATCTGTGAAACACTATCTTGTTCCTGCCACCTCCTGCCCCAGGGGAGTTCCCAATATGTAGCTGAATCAAAGATAACTTATTTTGGCAATTGAGGTGCTAAAGTGAATGCACCCTCACCAATCAAGGGACATTGTTCTCAAAACTGGTCACATTATATTGAGAGCTTCAGCTGAAGCTTCCACATCTCTCTCTGCCAAAACTAAAATCAAACAAAGCAGCAGCAACAATGCATTAAATAATTCACAGTTCATTTGCCTTTCATGATCATACCTACCTCATGGCAGAGAAATGTCTTGAGCTGACCCTTTATTGTGATGAACAATCATTACTCTAAACCCACTTCCAAGTCAATTAGCAAAGAAGACATTAAGAAGTATGGGAGTAAACTGTCACTGATTTCATTACTAAGGGGAGCAACAACCAGTTTTAGTTGGTAATTATTTTCTTTCTGCTGCAAGAAACTCTTTGAAAACAGAGAGGTTTCCAAAAACTCTCCACAGCTCAGGACACTTCTCCAAAAACCCTACCATGAAAGAATCTTGTTTTCTGCTCAGAAAACATTTTCTGCACAGAAAACATAACACAGTTTTCTACAAAAGAAGAGGAGGAAAAGGAGGAGAAGGAGAAAGAAGGGAAGGAAGGAAACTAACAAAGAAAAAAAACATAACAAATAACACACACAGACACCCAAAAAGTCATGTGAAGTTTCTCATACAGAAAAGTTCCAAATTGCAAAGATTCTCAACATGGTGGAACTCTTGTTGGGTTTTCCTTATAATTCTTTTTAAACCATCAATCAAATGTCTCTGGATATTATTTCAATCCATATTAAAAACAACGGGTCGGACAACGACTAGAGTGCAAATGGCGAAAAACTCATCTCTCATCGACAGAACTCGCCTTAGGAAGCATCTTGATTCCTATAGGGAGGCTTTACATGCAGTGCAGAAATCTTTCTCTTCTGCACACATTGCGTCTGCAGAGTCTCGCTCGGCAGAGCTGTTTAGGGTGGTGGGGGAGCTGATGAAGGTTCCACCTGCACAAAATCCCCTACTTAACCCAACGACTGCCTGCTGTGAGACATTTAATACCCACTTTGCAGATAAAATCTCTCAGATAAGAGTCGACTTGGACGCCAGTGTTTTAGCAGAATCCGAAGATGAGGTATCCAGCAACTCCATTGAAGGTAATTTATTGGATCAACTACAATCTGTGAGTACCGATGACGTGGACAAGCTACTTGGAAGGATAAGGAAGATGACTTGCCCTCTCGATCCTTGTCCATCATGGCTGGTCGTCCGGGGGAGGGACACGTTGAAAGTGTTCCTTCGGGACACGATCAACGCGTCTTTCAGGGAGGGTTTGGTACCATCTTGTTTGAAGGAGGCAGCAGTTAGGCTGCTCCTGAAAAAACCTTCCCAGGACCCTATGGACAGAAACAATTACAGACCAGTCTCCTTGCTATCTTTTTTAAGCAAGGTGATCAAGAGGGCAGTTGCTTCCCAACACCAAGCAGTCTTGGATGAAACTGATTATCTCAATCCATTTCAAACCAGCTTTCGAACAGGATATGGAGTGGAGACTGCCATGGTTGCTCTCACCGATGACCTCCGCTTGGGCATCAACAGGGGTAGCGTGACCTTGCTGGTGCTCTTGGATCTCTCAGCGGCCTTCAACACAATAGATCATGCCATCCTCTTGGATCGCCTGAGAGAGTTAGGAATTGGAGGCACTGCTTTGTGGTGGTTCCATTCCTTCCTCTCGGGCAGATCCCAGAGGGTGAGGCTCAAGGACAGTTGTTCTTCTAAAATAGAGCTTAATTGTGGCATCCCTCAGGGCGCCATCCCGTCCCCGATGTTATTTAACATCTATATGAAGCCTCTGGGTGAGATTATTCAGAGGCATCGAGCACGATGTCTTCAGTACACTGACGACACCCAGATATATCTCTCCATGACCAGATCATCGACTCAGACTTCAGATGGTGTCTCTCCTCTCAATGACTGTCTCAGAGCGGTAATGGATTGGATGAGGAAAAACAGATTGAAGTTGAATCCAGACAAAACGGAGGTACTCATGGTCACAGACAGATTTGGGAATACAGTCTCCAGTCCTAGATGGAGTCACACTCTCCTCTAAGGACTGTGTTTGCAGCTTGGGGGTGCTCCCAGACTCGTCGCTTCACATGACTAGTCAGGTGAATGTGGCGGTCAGGAGTGCCTGTTACCAGCTTCGGCTGATATGCCAATTGCACCCTTATCTGGACATGAGGGACCTGGAAACTGTGGTACATGCTCTGGTAACCTCACTTCTGGATTACTGCAATGCAGTCTACATGGGGCTACCCTTGTGCCTAACCCGGAAACTGCAACTGGTACAGAACATGGCAGCCAGATTAATTACGGGAACATCTAGGAGGGAGCACATAACACCAGTGCTTAAATCCCTGCACTGGCTGACAATTAGTTTCCGGGCTCAGTACAAGGTGTTGGTTTTAACCTTTAAAGCCCTACATGGCTTGGGGCCATCTTATCTTAGGGACCGCCTCTCCCAGTATGATCCCCCCTGCATCCTCTGGGAGGAATTGCTACAGCCAATAAAAACTAGGCTGTCTCAGACCTCCCAGAGGGCCTTGTCTGCGACTGCTCCCAGACTATGAAATGGACTGCCGGGTGAGATCCGTCTTATTACCACTCTTGCTGCTTTTAAAAAAAGCAGTAAAGATGGATCTCTTCCAGCAGGCCTTCCCGAAATAATCCTACGGCGTGAGGGGAGATGGTTTGTTATTGTTGTTTGTTTGTTGCATGTTATTATATCGTATTATGTTTTAAATTTTCAATAGTTTAATTCTGTTTTAAGGGGTAGTAGGGCTAGATATGGGATAAGGAATGTTTTAAATTGTATGTTTTAAATGTTGTAACCCACCCTGATTGTTGTGCAGAGGGGCAGACTATAAATAAAATTTATTATTATTATTATTATTATTATTATTATTATTATTATTAAAGAGACATTTTTGTCCATGAAGACAAAATGTTTGGAATGATAGTATTCCCTCTTCCATATTGAATATTTCCACTACTGCCTGAAGTAAAAGGGTCTTTTAAATACCTGTGTTCCTGCTTTGGGTGAAGAGATGCCTGTGTTTCAGATTACATAAAATATAGTGAGGTTCATACCCACTATTTGTTAACCACATGAATCTCTAGTGTAGCTGGAAAATATAAATCAGGGATAGTTCCCAGGTTTTGAAGATTGTATGTCAGGACTTATTAGTTAACTAGGCACTGTTTTGCCTGTCATCATCTATCCATCCTCCCCTCTGGATTCTGTAGACCATATGTAGGTAAATTCAGAAGTAAATGAAGAAACTGCCCTCACCTACAAATCTGATAAAACCTCAAAACTGAACATTGTATATCATAAGGATCCTTGCTTATGAACTGTTATAAAGATTTCTAACAATTCAGTTGAGATGGTAAAATGTGAAATGGAACAATTCTCAAAATGAAATCTTCCCTTGAAGAGCCACATGGCTGTTTAGTAGAAATGTAAATCATGAACATGGATAGATGGCTATCCTTAAAGGATAAATGCCAGGATTATGTTGTGAATTAAGTGTATGTTTCACAATCCATTATAGGCAAAGAGTCAGACCACTTTATAACTTCAGAAATAAAAAGCAAATCACAGAAGAGAAGGGCTTATTATTTAGTTTAATCATTATGCAGACCATACTTTGCTCACCTCGAGTGAACCAACAGCTTTGCAAGGAACAAAACTCAATATCTTCATCATTCCAGTTTTTAAAATAGATACATTT